TAAAATTGGAAAATTTGTGGAATTGAAAGGTGAGAGAAAAATGTGCTGACTGGGATGGTTTCATTCTGCCTTATTATAAAAAATTTGCTATCATATAACTTGATGAATACTTGCACATAATGGAACAGTGTTTCTCTTGCAAAAAATATAATTTATTGAGTTTGTATACACTAAAGTTAATTACATGAGAGTCATTTTAACTGTCTAGAAATTTGATATTTTCTAATATCATGAAGAGAGATTTTGACAATACAATATAAGGTGCTGATGTTTGAACTTCAATTTTTCTTAGGTAGAGCAGATCTGATTGACAAACTTCTACAAGATGAGTCAATAAAGGCACAGAAATCAGCCGTGGAAGGACTAGAAGATTTACGATTACTGCTGAAATACCTGGATTTATATGGAATAACAGACAAGGTGTGTTCTAAAGGACTATATTCACTCAACAAAGCTAATTCTTGGTAACACTGTGACTACATTAGAGTATTTATAGTTTGTGTCTATACTTGTGGCTTCAATTAACTTTTTAAGTTGTAACTTGCAGGTTATATTTGACTTAAGTTTGGCCAGAGGACTTGATTATTACACTGGTGTCATTTATGAAGCAATTTTACAAGGTGAGCCATGAACTTTGTAGGAGTTTACTTTTGATATATTCAATCTTCATCATGGTTAAGGCAATTTGGCTTTGTACATTGTAAATACATAATTTCCCCCATCGTTTTCTCTATCTGTTTGTGGTCTATTATACTCAAGACACTGCTATGTTTCAATTCTCATATTCTTCTGTATTTGACAGGTTTTGCCCACTCACCTAAGTCTGGTGCTGATGGAGACGAGAGTGTAAGTGTTGGCAGTGTGGCGGGTGGAGGCAGATATGACGGACTCGTTGGTATATTTGATGCAAAAGGCAAAAAAGTTCCCTGTGTAGGAGTTAGTATTGGGGTGGAGAGGGTCTTTGCAATCATGGAATCTAGAGCTCAGGTATGTAGTTAAATTAAACCGTGTTTGTAGTCCTTCAAAGAATGATTTTCTTTCTTGAGGATTATGACATTAATGTAGTTGACTGTGAATTTCTTTCATGAAAAATGAGATTTGTGGAGGTACTCTTAGTTTCACACAAGTTTTTGTATTTTTTATGAAGGCGTCAAACACCAAGACCAGAACAACAGAGACAGATGTTTATGTTGTTTCAGCCCAGAAAAATTTAGTGGAGGAAAGAATGAAAATTTGTAAGGAATTATGGGATGCAGATATCAAGGTATGTGATGCAAAGTAAGAGTTATCTCCCATAATTTTTTATTCTTGACCAAGTAAGAATTTTTTCGTGAAGCTATAATATATAAAATCAGAGATATAAAGATGAAACTTGTTGCACTTATCCATAAAGTACATTTTTTTCATTGTTTATTTTTGAACAAAGTCGGTATACATACATGTTTGTAATTTACTCAATGAACTTATGATTAACTAAAATGAGATTTGTATGTTGGCACAACAGATACTGATAATTGTGTCCCACTTTCACAAAAGACATTAAATCTCATTTGTGTGTTTGTCCATCTGTCTGTCCAATCTGTCAGTCACAAAAACTTTAACCTTGGTTATAACTTTTGAATGAGAGAAGATAGGGTTTTCATATTTCTTATATACATTACCTATGGGAAAGCCTTTTCTAATATACTGTGATATTTGACTCCATGACCTTGAATGACTTTCTTTTCAAACAATTTAACTTTAGTAATGCATTTAACTTTTGAATGAGAGAAGATAAGGGCTTGCATGTTTCTGGTGTGTAATACTTGTGACAAGCCTTTCTGAATATACTATTGTTTTTGACCTTGACCTTGATGTTTGTTCTACTTTTATATTTTAACTTAAGGCATAGCTTTTGTACATGAAAAGATAGTGCTTTCGTATTTTTTCATGTGCATTACCTGTGTCAAAATCTCTCCAAATCTACTATGATTTTTTAGTTCATGACCTTGAAGTTTGACCTACTTTTTAAATAAGATAAACTTGACTGTTAAATTTACACCAAAACATATTACTTCAAAACTATAAAACTTGTTTTTAGCATGATGGACAAGCAAGGCAGTTGGAATGTGCTAATTGGTTCATCGCACCCAACTGATAAGACCCTGGAAGCAAGGCACCATATTCATCTTGCCCATTAATAGTTAAGAATGTGAATAATACAAATTACTAAAAATGTTTTATTTTCCAGACTGAGCAATCCTACAAGAGGAACCCTAAGGCCCTGGACCAGTTTCAGTATTGTGAAACCAACTGTATCCCAATAGCAATAATTATAGGAGGATCTGAAATAGAGAAAAAAGTTGTTACCCTCAGGATAGTGGGCACCAGAGAAGAGGTAAGGAAGAGAGAGATATAGCTGCAATAATGTAGCCCTCTCCAATTTTTTTTTTTTTTTTTTTTTTTTTGGGAGAGGGCTACAACTCCTTAGGATCTCCGTAATGGTGCAAGTGCGGGAGTGATTCACTACCGCACAGATTTCGGCTCAAATTATTAGTAAGTGGCTATTTTATTGACATATCTTACCTGAACTCATAAAATGTAATTATGTAAGACATGAGTTGATCAAAAAATATACAGAACAATCGGTATATCGGTTATTTTTCATGCATGTCAACATCACAACTTATATTTATCCGCCATGTTTACTGACCTTGATCGATTTTATTTTGGGACAACCAATGAGAATTCGGGATCTTGGGGAGCGGATTGTATAGGATTTCCCTTATTTTAAGCATAAATATCACTGTTAATGAAAAAAATATCCCATGGAATGCTTTTATTTATCGATGTTTAGTGATATCATACAACACAAACATTTATCAACACCGACATTTACTTTATCAAGTGATTCTAAATTTCATGCGCAAGTCTCCGTACATCACGCGAGAACTGTCATGGCTGCAGAAGAGAACGACTGGTAAACACGCAGATTTATTTTACTTGGTTTTCGCGTATAAAGGGCTATGATGTTGATAGTGAATAAAAATTCCGTCTTATTGGAAGTAAGTTGAATGCAAAAACAATTTATTTTGCCTGCATTCGCCCGTATCTAAAAAATGTATTTGCACCATTACGGAGATGCAGTGGAGTTGTAGCCCTCTCCTGAAAATATCAGATTAAAAAAAATCGGAGAGGGCTACATTATTGCAGCTAAGAGAGATAATGTGGAGGGAGGTATGGAAGAGAGGGACAGTATGGAGTGGGGGGGGGCAAAGAGGAGACATCGAGGAGGATGACTGTGTGAAGTGGGAGGGGGACAAGGGGTATGGGGGAAGGATAAAAGAGTTGATTTGGTGAGGAGGATTTGACAGAGAGATTTGAAGGAAGGGTGAAGTTCAGAGTAGGGAGGAGATGGACAGAGGTGTGGAGGAATGGTATCAGTGGGGAGGGGGGTCAACACAGAAAGGTACACACAGAGATGTGGAGGAATGGTATCAGTGGAGAGGGGGATCAACAGAGAAATGTACACACAGAGGTGTGGAGGAATGGTATTAGTGTGGAGGGGGGTCAACAGAGAAAGGTACACACAGAGGTGTGGAGGAATGGTATCAGTGGGGAGGGGGATCAACAGAGAACTGTACACACAGAGGTGTGGAGGAATGGTATTAGTGTGGAGGGGGATCAACAGAGAAATGTTCTAATTAAGATACATTTCAAAAATTTTGCTTGTCCAGGTTTGCAAGAGGTTTAACAAAAATGGGATTCTACTTGATACTTTACTTAAAAGACAAAATGCTCAGTACAGATTGACAAATTGTAAGCACACTGATGAAAAACAGAACAGTTAGAATGCATTGATGCTAATTCTAAGATAGTGATATACCTAACATTTATTTTGTGATGTGCTTTAATAAATCATATTTGTTATATTTTTCAGAGAACAGTTCCTAGAGAGAAGATGATAGAAGAAATTAAATCTGTCCTGTCAAATTTGAATTGAAAATTACATTACTCTTAATGACAGACATTTATTTATTTCCAACAAGGACTATGTACTGTTAATGTACATTTTGTGTTCGTATAAGTGTCCCAGATGTTTTAAGATTACCAGTCCTGGAATTTAATAATTGTGATTTTTTCAAAGACATTGAAACCTGTACAGACTACCAGAGCAACAAGAATTAAAGCAGTTCCGTGATCAATATCATAACAATTCTGAAATTTCGAATAAATTTTTTTAAATTCATGAGTATTCAATGTTGTGTTATGTATTGTTGTAGCAATTCCTTTTGGTACATACCAAAGCATACTTTCATGAAGAATTATATACCGGTATTTGATTAGATTTAAATCTATTAATTTAAGAACCCTTTTCTTTAAAATTGTACATTTTAAATCTTCCTTAGTAGTAAATAAATATTTTTTTCTGTGTAAAAAAGTTATGGATGAAAAGTTTATCAATGTGATGAACCAAATCAGACCTTTCATTATTTTTCTGCATGGTAAGTATAAGTATTTGCTTTATTTTCCTAAGGTTTGTTTTTGATTATCAATATTCCTTTAATTCAGCTAAATAAGTTTTTACTTGGTTGAGGAAATTGTATACAATTTATTGAAAATGTCCATTGTGACGAAATGTTGAAATGTTCATCAGATTACAATTATATTGTAGGTTTATGTTCAGATTTCAATTCAGAAACCATTGCCAAAATAAACAATAGGTTGTAGGAAGAAAACAATATTACAATTTTTTTATTGGGGGGGGGGTCTTTTTGTCAGGCAAAAATGGTCATCAGACATCATTATTGATGAGGAAAATAGTAATTAACAAATCGTTTTTTATTGCTCTATTGTATAGTATAAAATAGCAATTTATTGAAAGTATCCCAATAATGTTCCTAAAGCCTGAATAGTTATGGAGAATATATTCCGGATATATCCGTGTTTGGCTTGAATATTTTAATTATCAAACTCTAGGTCACAAAGGTTCTTCAAATTACTATATTTTTTAAATCTATCAGTAAGCGTTTAACAGAGTCAGTTTGTTGCTCATAACAACGAGCAAAGCTAGAAAGATGTCAGGATTACCACGAGAAGTGTTAAAATGGATTCAGAGTTTAGATTTGACGTGGCAAATCAAGCAGCCAAAGTGGTAGGATGTTTAGCGTATAGATTTACGTGTTTGCTCTTTCAGACTCCTTTACCTTGTCACAGGAGAAGTGATTGCAAGACAATCGCTGATTTTTCTAAAACTTTCCTTGTCACTAATTCATACTCATGGTACATGTACCACGATTATTTTTTTTTAGTAATTGACACAGCCATCTGTCAATCTCGCCTATAAATTCGAGTTGAGGGATATTTTGACTGACGTCGTCGTCGACCGTGTCAGTCCAAATATCCAGCCAAGTCGAATCTCAGCCGAGATTAAGCCAAGTGTCTGATTTCATGTGTATGACGGCATACTCCAATATGTTCTTTGTGTCTGATTCATATTCTTTCTATACATGTACGTTGGCTTAAGAACATATTACTTGATATTTGGGTCTTCATGAATAAAAAAAATGATGATCCTAAATATATAGGTTAATTTTGACTTATATTACACTCATTTTTTAACAGAAGTTATAAAATTAAGTGACTAGCTTTTCTGAGTTACAAATAAACATTTGAAATACTATAATTTCTACCTTATTGTTGATAAAATGTATGGGCTTTGAAATGTAGTAAACTTTGCGGTGCCAGAATGCAAAAAAGAAAAAAAATTCTCATTCTGTACTTTTTCATCATTTACAGGGATTTGACTAATGGATACCTTATTGCTGAAATTTTCTCTTGGTATTTCCCTCAAGACATTCAGATGCACTCATATAACAATGGAACTTCATTAGATTCAAAACAAAAGAATTGGAGCCTTTTGAAATTGGTGTGAATTGATAACATAAACTATAATAATATATAATTACATGATAATATAATGATATTGTTTTATTTAAGAATAATCTGATTTTATTTCATTATTAGTCAAGAGTTTCTAGGCTATCCACACTCTATAATCTTGAATAGATATTTTGATTTATTTTATACAAGATACATGTATTTCAATCACTAAATTGGTAATGATCGAACTATTCAATGTAATCGTCAAAATATGATGAAATGCAAAATTTCTAGAACCCCTCTGCATGAGATGATATTTGATTTGTTTTATAGTTTATTAATCGACATAAGTTGGACATTCCTGAGGATCTGATTGAGGGAACCATTCATTGTAAAGAGGGGGCAGCCCCTGCACTGTGTGAGAGGATCTATGAGTTATTGACCAACAGAAAGTGGGTATCTGTCAGGTGTGTGTGGATCAGGTGCACTGTTGCTGTTAGTCAAGGAGATGCATGATCAATCAAAAATTAATTGTTTTAATAGGACAACATTTTTAATTATTGAAGAGTATTTGGAATAATGTAACTTTAAGGAAATAAAAGTTTATATATTATTTGGATAAATATCAGATTCTGTCAAATATGGAAACCAAATATGATCATGCAACATCTTGTCTTGTCTTGTGATCATGGAAAAGGTATTCAGCATTTGTAACATTTTAGATGTAGCATAACTTTCGTATGTGGGATTATGTGTAACAAATTCTAATAGCTAGATTACCTGTTTTGCCAGTACAGTATTCAAATATACATTTTTAGAGTACATACACTGATGCACATTCACATTGTGTCTGTAACTGATTTTTGTATGATTTGTGTTTTGCATTGGCTAGTGTATACATTCATATAAATTAACACAGTGTATTAAGTTTTTAAAATAATTTAGATTTATTTATTCATTTAACCAGTACTTCTTCAGCATTACTGACACCATTAAAGTATAATTTCCGTGCATCTAATTCATTTTAATTTAATATCATCATTTTCAAATTACTGTAGGTATACCTTATTTTGTATAATTTAAGCAATATTCAAATTAGCTTGGTCTTTATATATTAATAATTACTCAAAGACAGTGTATGAATTAATTAGGACCCAACATCAAAATGCAGGTGTCCTACTGTATATAATCACTGAGTCTGGCTGTTTGTCCTTCAACATGTTTAATGTCCCATGATAACCTGAGTACCTTTCAACCTACAGACTTCATACTTATGTATGTAGAAGATGGAAAGAGGAAGACACCTTGGTTTTAGGGGTTATTTGTTCAAGGTCACATCTTGAGATATTAATTTGGCCATTATGTTGCAGTAAATTGGGTCAAGTTTATATACTGTAGATTACTTTTGCAATGCATATGTGAAGAGAGATTTCCATACAGAAGTTGAGGCTAATGAATGGATTACAGGCACTTGATGTTACATATTTTTCTTATTTAAAAGAATACAACCCCATACCTAATAATTCAGAGAGTTTCAGACAAAAATACATCAAGTTGATGTGACGACCTAGAAAAAATCAAGATTGCGGTGATGTGACTACCTTGTGAATTATAATTAAGTATGGGTTATATTTTTTTGAAGAAAAATATGTAATGTCAAATGTCTGTGGCCTGATTTTTTCGGGGGGGGGGGGGGGGGGGGGTCACATGAACACACTTTTTTAAGGTACAAAAAATTGAGTCTGTTTCAACACATTTCTTATTCCCTTAAAAAAGAGACCTGCATAGAATCTTAGGTCATGGTCAAAAGATCAGTATTATTGATATAAGCTAGAAAAATGCAGTGCTTGGATGACTTTGTTAGTTTTGTAGTCTCTAGAATATATAAAAAAAATATTCATACAAACTGATGTTGAAGCAATTTGATATTGTACTCCTACAATTATCCTAATTTAAAAGGATACTTGAATATGAAATAATATGTTTCTAATATTTTCAAATCTATGCAATTTGTAAATGATTACACATGTAATATTATTGTATAATTTGCTGAATAATTATATGGAAATATTGCCTTCCCAGAGCAAAGAAACAGAACCCTGAATATGAGGTGGATTTCACAGATAGTGCCTACCAGATGCAGCTTCCGATGCATGCCAGGTCAACGGCATCTAAAGCCATTAAAAACAATCTACGTATTACAGAAATCATGGCTGACCCAAACCTTATACTCAGTGCTCAAAAGGTACATGAAGGAGGGTGGTATACAGAGAATAGAAAAATGTCAAAGGCAGAAATTTCAATATTCTCAGAATTCAGTAAAGTTAGGGAAAGGGCATAATTTCCTGCTTCTTCAGAAACCTAAGGGTGACAACTCTGTATTCCTTTCTCTGAAGTAGGGAAGTTTTATTATTTGGTATAGTGAAGTCAAATTACAACAATGTTTTATTATATATTATGCTAATCAACCCTTTTCTGAAGTTTGTGCATAAAATTAGTATACAAATATTGACTGGGGTTGAGGGCAACATTGATTATGTTAGCCTCCAAGGGATGAAATATTGCCCTCCGTGGAGGGCAATATTTTCATCCCAAGGAGACTAACATAATCAATGTTGCCCAAACACACGGTCAATAATTGTTTTGTTATATGAAAAACAAATCATTGAAATAGTATTTTGTTTTAAATAAATTATCTGCATCTTGAGTGTAGACCTAGTGTTAGTGAATCTTGTGTTACTTGGTTTTTCTATTGTGAATTGTTATGTTTTTTGAAAGTCGCGACGGTATCATTACATCACAATAAATCAATCTTCTTATCAGAATCCAAATCAATAAAAATGTGAGAAAACTCTCTCTGTCGGTCAATAGTTTAAATTAAATGACCTGTCAATATTTTTCGGAGGAGCTAATATCAATTACGTTGACTGATTCTCTATATAGAGAATATAGGGACTATTCTTTACCGAATGTAACAATGTATGTTGTTTAAATAGTCATGTTGGTACACTGTTTGGCCACATATTCTTACTATTCGTCAACAATTTCAAAGTCAACAGTCATGAGCAATGTAGGAATAGATGGGCATTGGATTATTACCCAGTATTTTGGCTTGGTACCTTTACACTCAGTGAACAGTCTTTGAATAGTAATGGTATCAAATATCTATATGTGAAAAACTTACAGGCAGTATTACATATATATTTAGTAACAATCCAGAATTTATGTCTCTTTTTAGGCCCAGAAAATTATCAATGAGCATATTCAACACAGAAACATGGAGAGGCAGGAGAACCCAGACAGATTCAATGTCAAGCCCACGTTGGGGGAGAGGTGTATAAGGAGGCCCCCTCCCCAACCCTCTCAGCCCACCTTTGATGCTGAAAGCACACAACACACCTTTACTGTGGACCCTAGTCAGAAACCAGGAGGAGAAGGTACAACTTCTGAAGGTCAAGAAATCAATTAACATGCTCATAAAATTGAAATTATGATTATTATGAAGTTAGGTATATATAATAAGTTAGAGGTGATGAAAAATAAACTTATATATTGCATTAAAAATTTTATTAAATATTTGTACTTGTTTTCAAATTACATGTATCAAGTCCTATATTACTTATTTTCAGACAATCCGCTGCCTTTGTCAAGAGAACCAAGTGTGCAATTCAAGGAGGTTGAAGTCAAACAATTGGACAAATCTGCTTTATATAATATGCCAATCCAGGGATATTGATTTGTGATATGTATAAAATATTTTATTCCATATTGTGTATCAATATAATGACTTTACATGGCTTGTCTGTCCGTTTGTTGGTGTTTGTGTGTGGTTAAAATCACAACACATCTGATCAACTAACAGAAAAATCATGGGTTGGTATTGCATTTCATTGTAAATATACACATATACCTACAATATAATTCTGAATTACAACAATAATTAGAGTAATTATTGTTTATTTTCAAGGAAGAATGTCTCTTCCAAATAGACTGACACAGAAGATGCTGATGTATGATTTAATTTGAGAGTCCCACTTGTTATGTTTTGATACATATTCAGTCCTTTTAACTGTGCCAATTTATGTAAAACTTTTTTTTAATGTATACCTCTTAATTTTTCTGTAAATAAAATTGTCTAATAATTGTATTTGTTCATTTTTTTTTATACCCCAGTAATCGAAGATTCAGGGATATATATATATATATATATATATATATATATATATATATATATATATATATATATATATATATATATATATATATATAGTTTTTGCCCTGTCCATCTGTCTGTCTGCAAAAACTTAAACCTTGCCCATAACTTTTGTTTGGTTGAAGCTATGACTTTCATATTTCACTTGTATATTCCATGTGCCAAGACCTTCTTTTGGGTACCAACATATTTGACCTTGGAGTTTGACCTACTTTTAGAAAAGTATAACATTGGCCATAACTTTTGAACAGTTAGTACTAGGGCTTTCAGATTTCACAGGTATATTCCTTGTGACAAGATCTTCCTTTGGATACCAACAATTTGACCTTGACCTTGGAGTTTGACCTATTAAAAAAAAACTTTAATCTTGGCCATTGCTTTTGAACAGTTGTTGCTAGGGCTTTTATATTTTGCATGTGTATTTCTTATGACAAGTTCTTCCCCCTGCATACCATTAATTTTGACCTTGATCTTGGAGTTGACCCCTGATTAGAAAACATTTAACTTGACCATAACTTTTGAATGGTTGGTGCTTGGACTTTCATATTTACCAGGTATATCCATTGACACTTGTAAGTTCTTTCTTTGGGTAACAACATTTTTGATCTCTTGACCTTAGAGTTTGACTTGCATTTGAGAAAATTTAACCTTCGCCATAAGCTGTCATTTGGGGGGCATCAGCTAGTGTTTCACAAACACATCTTGTATTTTTTATTTATTTATTTTTTTTTGGTTTATACATACTTTACCCATATATTTCCAAAAATAGGAGTTAATGCAATACATGTACCAGGAAACATATTTCATAGTTGTGCTCTATTGAAAACAGCTGCAATATCAATTCCCATACTAACAACCAAAGAATACATTTTATTGTTTTAAATAAACTTTTTCTGAGCAAATGCAATATGCTTGAAATTCAGATTTGCTAAAATAAATACATGATATAACTGTATCTGTTCATATAGAGGGTTTATATCTGTCCTAAATATGCATATTCATTTTTAGTATGATTTACAACTGAATGGCTTACATGTATTTGGTCAAAATTGCTAGAAATGAAATTGTTAGAATGATTAAATTTTGAAATCTTAATTGATTTTTGTCTCTGTTGTATATGAAAAAAACATAGTGATAGATTATCTAAATACACGCAAAGCTGAGAGGAGGGATCAATTTATCCTTTCTGAGAATTCTTATGGTATAATTTCCCCCTAAAAACAGGAAATTCAAAGGTGATCAGAAGTCGGAAATTCTCAGATGTTTTTATAGATTGCTGAAAAAATGTGCATAAAAAATAAATCCAACCTTCCTCCAACATTAGTTAAACACCAGTTTTACTCCATCCTCAGTACACTTTTCTGTATCACCCATTCCCCCTTTTCCCTCTTCTCACCTCTGTCCTAGCTCTTCTAACCCCCACCCACCTCCAATTTTCATTATCTCCTTTTTTATGATTTTTAAAATATAGTAAGTAAAAAGTACCTGTGTAAATGTATTTTTTTTAAAAGGAAGATAACAAAATTGCAAAATGAATAAATAACATTCATGCTTATATACTGACTTTGTAACAAACACCTAAGTAATAAAAGCTCTTCAATATTCACCGTAGGTTGCAAGCCCAATTAACAGCTGATTAATAGACCCAGGGATGTACATATAGATCCCTGATAGACCTAAATGATTATGTTTTGTACAAGGAAGAATGATTCTTTCTTTCTTCTGTCTTTTATTTTTACGGTGGTGATGGGGGTGGGGGGACTATTCCATCCCTACTGTCTATTTGATCCGCGCCTGAAGTATTCTTCTTTGCGCATGCGTAATTAGTGTAAATTGAGTGTTGTCGAAGATGCTAGGATGGTAGAAGGAAGCATCAATCTACAAGTTAAAGAGGTCTTGACGGCTGGGATGAACAGAACCCAAATTCAAAAAGCGTCCATGTTGTTTGTGTAATTAGATTTACGTCTGAAACGTCACAGGCTGTAAGGTAAACAATGTAGGCCTACTGTCATTTCGAATTTTCTCTAAATATGTTAATGGTCACTAAATCCTCAGGACTTCGCAATTTTATCAATAAAGTCAATAGAAATCACTCGATTGACCAAGCCATGACCTATACAAATTATAAAAGATTTGGACTAATTATAAAAAAAAGTGGACTGTCACTAGTTAGAATAATCTAACTGTATCTCAGGACTAATCTCAGCGAGATTCGTAGCTGAGATTATCTCAGGACAAGCCGTCACCACAGTTAAAAAACGTCCCATATAGTTGCACTGTAGCAAATCGGAACAGAACCGCTCAGGAATGATTTTGAAGAATATAAAAGGAGTTCCCACTGAGAATAACAACTAAATCATAACAATTTTTTTTGAGCTTGTATATGCCTTTTACCCTAAAAATTGATCCATATAAAGGTGAAAATTCAACTCATTTTCTCAGTTGAAATTACACGCATTGTTGACATAGCACAAAAATTCTGGTGACAATCTTCATAGAACACTGTATATCTATAAAGTGATGTTGTCCTACAGACCCAGTTTAAGGCCTAAGGATAGAATTTGTTCCGTGTGTTGGCAATGTAGGAAAATAAATAGGGACAGTTAACTCTGATCTACATATTTACTATGAATAAACCAGGGAGTTCTGAATGTCCTCGGGGTACCTATTTTACTCACACTGTGGTCGATGAAATCTTCAAGGGTTTTTTTTTGCTCAAAGACAAAATTATTTGCATTTGCGATTGGGTATCTGTAACCTTGTAGAATATATTGCAACCTTGTTAAATCCATTCAAGAAGAGTTTTTAAAAATCAATGTTATATATTAATTTTTCGTCGTAAAATATATAAAAGATGTTACAAAATGAAGTATATTTACTTTTAATCACACTGAATTCAAATTCTTTAGGCTTAACATTAACTGAGTGATAAGGCTTTGTCGTGGAACTTCAACTTTATATTTAGAATCAAGTCATCTTCTTGGACATCAGCAAATACTGTAGAGGTAATTAATGGACATGGCCCAGGGACCACCTCTCCCTCACAGATCTGATAGTTTACCAGAATACCAAAGCATCCCTCCCATCCCTCCAAAACCCCAACTGACAGAGCCTCAGGCTGAGAGAAAGGCTGGAAGCTTGAAGAAAATGGCCACTGTTGATCAACTAAACCTGGAGATGTCTGTGAATCAGGAATTTGAGTCCAAAAATCATTACAGGAACTGCTTCAAGACATTTCACGACTATTACTTGAAGGGGCAGCTGTGTGACATAGAGATTAAGGTTGGTGAGAAGACTTTTGCCTGTCATCGAGTCATTCTTTCCTCTGTCAGTAATTATTTTCGCACCATGTTCATGTCTGAAATGACAGAGAGTAGACAGAGGGAGGTCACTATTCATGACATTGACGAAACTGCCATGGAGAACTTAGTGCAATATGCCTACACAGCCAAAATTCAGCTCACCACAGAAAATGTCCAGCCCATTCTGTATGCAGCTTCCATTTTGCAGATAGAAGTTGTCGCTAAAGCTTGTTGTGAATTCATGAAGAAACACCTGCATCCTACTAACTGTATTGGAGTTCACAATTTTGCACACCAGCATAATCGAATAGAGTTAATCAAAATGGCAGATGATTACATCTTGGAGAACTTTTTGGAGGTGGTTGATACAGAGGAATTTAAAACTCTGCCCTTTGATCTTATGGAAAAGTTGGTATCCTCCCCAGATCTGAACGTGGAGAACGAGAATCAAGTGTATGAGGGGGTCATGAAGTGGATCAAAATGGACATCGAAAATCGAAAGTGTTATTTGGGAAAGCTGATATCCAAAATTAAACTACCCTTACTGAGCCCTGATTACTTACTGCAGACTGTGGCTACAGAGGATCTGATAAGGAGAGATTTGGAATGTAGAGACTATGTAGATGAGGCCAAAGCATATCAAATGTCCCTGGCAAGTCTGGTCTCCAATGTTAGGATATCTCAGAATACCAGACCCAGGAAAAACTATGCAGGTTATTGGCAATTTTAAACCTTTCTAAGCAAAGTACAGTATTCAATCAAATGATTGCTTAGGTTTATTTGTTTTGTAACATTCATATTATTTGGAAAAAAAAAATATGTGTACTTAAATGAATTATGATGATCACAAAATGTTCAGGAATTCCTTAATAATATTTGTTGCATTTTGACAGGTGTACTGTTCTGTGTTGGGGGAAGGGGGGCCTCCGGGGACCCATTCAAGAGCATAGAAGTGTATGATCCCCGCAGAAATAGGTGGTTCCAGGTCAGTGAAATGAACACCAGGAGGCGCCACGTGGGTGTTTGCTGTTCTGGAGGTCAGTCCTGTGATTTATCAGATTCTTTGATATGTCTTTTTTTGGGGGGACTGGGCTTTATATGGTCTAGCTTTCCATCTGTCTGTCTGTAATCAACTCTAAGAGAATTCAGTACATGTATATTCAAACTTTTTTATCCTTCTTGAAAACTGATACACGTTTCAGAAATACAAAAGGCATGCCATCCACACCAATGCATGCTTCATAATAATGAATGACTTTTTCACAGAGCTTTTGTTAATTACATGTTAGTAATGGTTCTGTTAATATATTTCAGGTTTGCTGTATGCTATTGGTGGACATGATGGCACCAAACACTTGAAGAGTGGTGAGGTGTTTGATCCTGCATTGAACAGCTGGAAGACCTCTGTAAAACCTATGTCTACCCCAAGGTAAGTCTCCACTGCTAAGGTCCTTGAATAAGCTATTGACTTTTCCAAAATTCACGTATTTCATTCTTAACTCTTAATAAGAGTGATGTACATCAAACTTATTTATGCATTTAAGTAAGTTTGTAGTAAATTAAAGAAAAACAAAATTTAAAGTTAGATGTCATGAAAAATATCAACTTAACACAAATACAAGCAGAAACCTTTGATCAACAATTCTTTGTTCTCGTGTATGATTAAATGTGTTTTGTAGGAGGGGGATTGCCCTGGCCTGTCTAGGGTCAGCTATCTATGCTGTAGGGGGACTGGACGATTCCACATGTTACAGTCTGGTGGAAAGATATGATCCCTCTGTGGACCAGTGGACAATGGTAGCCAGTATGAATATCCCTCGAGGAGGAGTCGGAGTGACTGCACTGAAAGTAGGTCTTAATATTCTACACTGAAAGTAGGTCATAATATTCTACACTAAACGCAGGTCTTAATATCTACACTGAAAGTAGGTCTTAATATTCTACACTGAAAGTAGGTCATAATATTCTACACTGAAAGTAGGTCATAATATTCAAACAATTACACCTCCGTATTACTATTGATAAAGTTTTTGCTCATGCCCAGTAATAAAGTACATATTTCTTTCAAACACTGTAGAATGTATATGATACCGGTAAATGTAGTATCACTGAAGTGCAAGTAAAGTACATGCTGAAAAACAGATTGCAATATTTTCAGTATCAGAATAACTCTACTTGTTTTATGTTTTAGGATAATATTTATGCTGTTGGTGGGAATGATGGAATTTCTTCTTTAGACAAGTGTGAAAAGTATGATCCACTCCTGAACAAGTGGACATTTATTGCACCCATGAATCGCCACAGGGCAGGGGCAGGGGTAGCAGAGTTAGATGGGTACCTGTATGTTGTAGGCAAGTAGAATTACATTTACATTAGCCCTTTCTTACACTGGGGTATGACTTTATGTAGATGTTTAACATTTTGAAACAATTAATAGGAGGATTTGATGACAGTTCTCCATTGGACTCCTGTGAGAGATATGACCCTCATACTAACACCTGGACATTTGTGACCAGTATGTCCTGTTGTAGGGGAGGAGTGGGAGTTGCCTCCCTTGGGGGTCAGATGTATGCAGTAGGGGGTCATGATGGCTCTAATTATCTGAGCTCTGTTGAGTCCTATGACCCAATTGAAGACAAGTGAGTTGTATTACAGATCTTGTTCATATGATACTTTTATTTGTAGTCTTTTAAAAAGCTTTTCCTCATCATGTACTGGAATGTATTGGGTCTAATATAAACTATTCGTTTCATAGTTTAGTGAGGCTGAAGTTTATTTTTATGCTTGCTTAACCTTTGCAATGTTTTAACCATATGATTTTTAAATGACTGAACATATTTCCTGCTTCAAGTTATTCACTTTGTTATGAAATTTTTCTTTATCATAAACTTGTGACTTGATACTATTGCTTTGTTATTTTTGCTTACAAGGTGGTGTTTTGTCAGTAGTATTGGAAATTGCCGTGCCGGGGCAGGAATATCCTATGCCTCCTATACTTCTGCCATGCTTTTCTCCGCTGGCATATGTGCAGGTATCCTTACCTGCATGTCAGAAAGTAGTACTAATACACTGAACCAATTAATCTCTTCATTAACTTTAGATTTAAATGGGAGTAATAGGGATAATCTATGCATGTTGAAACCAAAAATGGTTTGACAGTAGGTAGCTATTTATTTCAAGGAATTGCATGCACATCAGTGAAGATTTTTACATTCAGTTTGAAGAGATATTGTATGTATATGATATTCAATATACATAAGAAAAAATCTTAACAGAAATAAAATTATAATGCCATTGTTTATTGTTTAACATTTAAGTGAAGATGTTAGAGGATTGAGAAACTATTCAACAATAAACTTTAATTAGGAAAATAAAGAAAAAAGAAGTCTGCTGATCAAAACACAACTTAAATTTTCTTCAAAAGTAGACATTGATCTGTTACACCTGTTTACAAGTATATGGTATGTTTAATAAAGTTTGATTCAAACATTGTATTCATATTATACAGATGGGAAAGTGCCAACGATATAAGTCAGTGTAGAGCGGGGGCAGGATTAGCCTACTGTTACTGTCCCTCAGCCAAACTTCAGCCATCTCAGCAACCCAGTGTCTGTCAACTACAGTGTTACTGACAGAATCAACGACCAGCAACATAATAAAGCAGCCCTCACAGAATTACAGCAACACAACATCTGTCATCTTCAGTGTTACTGACAGAATCAACGACCAGCAACATAATACAGCAGCCCTCACAGAATTACAGCAACACAACATCTGTCATATTCAGTGTTACTGACAGAATCAATGACCAGCAACATAATACAGCAACCCTCACAGAATTACAGCAACACAACATCCGTCATCTTCAGTGTTACTGACAGAATCCACAACCAGCAAAATAATACAGCAACCCTCACAGAATCACAGTAACCCAATGTCTGTCAACTACAGTGTTACTGACAGAATCCACAACCAGCAACATAATACAGCAACCCCCACAGAATCTCAGCAACCCAATGTCTGTCAACTACAGTGTTACTGACAGAATCCACAACCAGCAACATAATACAGCAACCCTCACAGAATCTCAGCAACCCAATGTCTGTCAACTACAGTTTTGTTGACAGAATCCACAACCAGCAACATAATACAACAGCCTTTACAGAAATACAGCGACCCTCTTCATCAACTACACCACTATCAACTACACAGCAATCAGCAACAAAAACAAAACTTCTTCCTCACAATCCCTAGTTTCTGAAATACTGGGACAATGTTCATGTAATTCACTTTTTTTTATTGTTAACAATAGAATCAACAACCAGCAACGAAAAATGGCACACACAGATTGTAACAACCCACCATCACAATAGAATTCAGCAATACTGTAATACATGTAATAAAAGGTATGGCGTTGTCATTACATCTTTAAAAATTAACAGATGTTGAATTGAGTCACCTGAAGAAAGTAGATGAATAGAATGTAATGTTTTACATCCTCAAAGAGAAACTGGATTTAAAACTTTTTTGTGGATTGATATTTTTTTTTGTTTAAATCAAGAGAAGTTTTTATATTGGAACTTTGTTCAAAGCTATTTTTACATGCAGTTTTAATTTGTTGATTTTGTAATGTATGCTTCATTCCACATTCGGCAAGCTGTTTGTTTAGTAATTTGTATATATATATATATATACATGTATATATGTTTTTTTTTCTTTTCTTTTTTTTTTTTTGAAAACCATCCTTTAATATTGTGCAATATGTTTTCCTATTGTATACATTATTTTTAAGAAGAGTTGTGCTATTGAAGGCAATTTTTATGCCATTTGTACAGTACATGTACATTTGTACATGTATTTGATTTTTTTGATAGAGTGCTACCTATGCCCTTATTGCCATGGTTACATACAGTGCTTATGTCAGATAACACAAAACTTAAAAGCATAAGATGGTTTACTACAAAATATTATTTTACAAAAATTCTGAAGTTAGAACCTAAGTGTCTCACAGTTAAACGAAGACACAACCTCTGGTGTATATATTTGTTTTCAATAATAAAGATGGTTAGTGAGCCATTCAGTTCTAAGCTACACATATTTATTTATATCTGAGTTGTAATTCCCTACCATCAGTGTTCACAAATACAGATTTTATTTATACAATACCTTGGTTTAATTTGCATGTTTACAACTGTTTCTGAGATATATTTACAGAATATCTTAATTAACATGTACATGTAAGTGCTCATTTTGTGAAACACGAGTAGTATGCTACAGTGTACATTTAAGGACGTTTTAGTTCTTTACATGTTGTTACTCTTAGTTGAATTTCAATAAAAGCTTAAATGGTGTGCATTGTCTTTTACTCTAATTATTTTAGGAATGAATTTTAATAGCTACCCAAGTTATACTGGTATAACCTGGGTTTGGGCAGTTTATGCTTTATAAACCGCAAATGGTTTATAAAAAAGCGTAAACTGTTCCTACCCAGGGTATACCAGTATAACTTGGGTGGCTATTAAATTCATTCCTTATAATTTAATTTTCCATCATTAAGTGTAAAAATAAGACAATTTCTCCTTCAAAAATGCTTCATATTGTACATATTTTAAATAAAGTCAAGCGGATTGATACTTTTTGACGCATTAAAGTCATTGTGACATAGGCAACCTAGGTTATATGATATATTCTAATTTTTTTATCCAATCAAATGACGCGTTACAATCAAAATTAAATTATAAGTTAATGTGACATGGTTTATAATTTATGTATATTTGACAGTCATCTGAGATAAAGGCTCAGTGCACGAGATTTTCTGATTGAATTTGTAATCTATTGTTACACAATGAACATTCTTTAAAAAAAAAAACACTTGGCCAATTTTTACCAATCTTGATATAGAACATCCTTGGGTAAAGGGAATTTTGTTTTATTTGTATGAATGGGAGAAAATACAGAGAAGTAGCTAGTCTTCTCATCATACACTGAGCCAGACTTGCAGACAAAATCATGCCTACAACATTATGTGGGGTCATAAAAAATTTGAAGGTAATAAGGGGGCGGACTGGGGTTTTCATTGCACAATACTTTGCGCATCATATTAAAATCAAGCGTATTCACTGTACAGCCTTATGGCAACTATTTTCCCATGATTTATCAAATTTAGCAAAATTAAAAAAATCAAAGAATAAAAAAATCTAATAAAAATATTGAAGAACTGATTTTTTAACAATTTTTCACTTGATAGGTAGATGGACATTGTAATAGTGGGTTTATGACGTCATTTAAACTGAAGTTCTTGAAGAAGGGGTCATATTTGTTTGTATGTTGTTTAAAGTCCCTCTCAAGAATTTTTCACTAATAGGAGACGCCACCATTTGCCAGTGGAGAGCTGCAAATTTTGTCCTATACTCGGCACTTACGGCCATTGAGCAGTGAGGGATCTTTTTTGTGCCAGCACCTACTGCGACACGGGACCTCGGTTTATACGGTCTCATCCGAAGGACCGGTCTCCACGTCCCACAGTGGGATTCGAACCCGCGACGTAAGGATCAACTCCTTACATCACGACTCTAGAGCTCTAACCACTGCACCACGCGGGTGACAAGTATGGGTCATAAAAAATGTACTAAAAAAAAAAAATAGAATATATGCTCTTGAAATTGTAAATACAGGAATTTGAAAACCTCTCTTTTTTTAAAATAAATTAATAGTTTATGTCATATTTTGTAGTATTCCATAAAAACAGAAAAATTTTGTAATTTTTCACATTTTGAGATTCCTCCCCCTCTGAAAACCGTGTTTCTTACATATAATGTACAATTGTCAATATAGTATTACTCATCATTTCTTATAATTTCAGCAAAAAGTCTATTGTATATTCATAAAATTTGCTCTGAAGAGCGAAAAACTAGCACTTTCTCCATGTAATCCTATGGTAAATGTTCCTGTATTTTGAGATGGTCCCTAAAAAATATACTCAGATGATAGATTTTCCCGAAACTTGGCACATACACTGTAAGTTACATATGATATAAAATTTAAGGGTTTTTCTATTGTAGTTTTCACACAATAAAACCCCAGTCGGCTCCCTTAAGTTGGACTTAGCACACAGAAAAATGTACAGTCAAACCTCGTTATCTTGGACTCGAAGGGACTAAGAAAACACTTCGAGATATCCGAGGAATCGAGATATCCAGGGTAAATTACTTGAGGAATAAGCAGTTGGGACTTCAAAATGACTTCAACATATCCATGGTATTTAAGATATCCGTGTTCAACTGTATTTCCAATTTTTTTCTCTTTATACAATGATTCTCATTTTATTTGTAACTGGCCCATGAATCAGGACCCAAGAATATCATAGCTGGTGAAGGATGCATTGGTCATCAAAATTACACATAAGGTTAGCCAGAAGATAATAAAGGATCTAATGCACTTTCCATATATGATTTGCACCACCATAGGGCCAACACCTGCAACCCAAAGGTCATGCAGTTTCTTTCTATAATTTTATGAAGTATGATACATGTAGTGTTAGAATGACACACATAACAGGAGTAATGGTGTCACTCTGGTGACACAAAAAATGCATGCTTATTATATCAATACTGTAAAAATAAGTATTGTTAGCATGGTAAAAGTAAAATTACATAATTGTATTCATATGCTGGACTAATTCACACATTCAGCAATACATATATTTGCTTTTCTGAAATGTTCTGAAAAAATGCAGCTTTAGAATAATTTATTGAATAATTTTCTCTACAAATGTTCTTATGTATAAATATACTATCTAAAAGGAAACAAAAATGCTCTTTTATCTATACAATACTACAAAAATATATATATGATTTTAGTCTAGGTATACATGTAATACTGAAAACATCCCAAGTTTATCATCAAAAGCATTTTCTAGAAAAAACATAGGTAATCAAAGATTACGAAGCTCACCTCGACGAATGTTATCTATACATTGTAAGTAAGGCAAATTTCACATTTTTTTTTCTAGTTAGGGTACATCCCAAGATCAATATCCATGCAAGTTTGGTTTAAGTAGGACTTATAGTTACTTGGAAATAGACCTGCTCAAAAAACTTTTAACCTGTTTACTAATCAAGAAAATTTTGGTCAGTTCCAACATCCAAAGCAAGTCTGGAAGTTTCATCCTTAAATGCACCATCTATGCAAGTTTAATCATAACAGGCCATAATTTTATATAGCTAATCCAAAAAAAAAATTATCCTGGTCACTCATCTAGAAAATGTAAGTCAGATTCAGAATCCAAAGAAAGTCTGGAAGTGTTCATCCCTAGATACAGCATGCATGCTAATTTAGTTAAAATATTGCTAAAATTCACTCATGTGGAAAATCTAGGTCTCATCCAGCATCCAAAGCAGGTTTGTTAGTGTACATCCCTAGATGCATCATCCATGAAAGTTTGGTCCAGGTAGGGCTTATAGTCACTTGGGAATGAGACTGCTCCAAAATCTAAATCTGGTCTCATATGTGGAAAATCTAAATCAGATCCAGCATCTGAATCAAGTGTGGTTATGTCCATCCCTAGATGCATCATCCATGCAAGTTTGGTCCAAGTAGGACTTATAGTTACTTGGGAATGGACCTGCTCCAAAAACTTTAACTTGGTCACTCATCTGGAAAATCTAGGTCAGATCCAGCATCTGAAGCAGGCGTGGTAGTGTCCATCCCTAGATGCATCATCCATGCAAGTTTGGTCCAAGTAGGACTTATAGTTACTTGGGAATGGACCTGCTCCAAAAACTTTAACCTGGTCACTCATCTGGAAAATCTAGGTCAGATCCAGCATCCGAAGCAGGTTTGTTAGTGTCCATCCCTAGATGCATCATCCATGCAAGTTTGGTCTAGGTAGGGCTTATAGTTACTTGGGAATGGACCTGCTCCAAAAACTTTAACTTGGTCACTCATCTGGAAAATCTAGGTCAGATCCAGCATCTGAAGCAGGCGTGGTAGTGTCCATCCCTAGATGCATCATCCATGCAAGTTTGGTCCAAGTAGGACTTATAGTTACTTGGGAATGGACCTGCTCCAAAAACTTTAACCTGGTCACTCATCTGGAAAATCTAGGTCAGATCCAGCATCCGAAGCAGGTTTGTTAGTGTCCATCCCTAGATGCATCATCCATGCAAGTTTGGTCTAGGTAGGGCTTATAGTTACTTGGGAATGGACCTGCTCCAAAAACTTTAACCTGGTCACTCATCTGGAAAATCTAGGTCAGATCCAGCATCCGAAGCAAGTGTGGAAGTGTCCATCCCTAGATGCATCATCCATGCAAGTTTGGTCCAGGTAGGGCTTATAGTTACTTGGGAATGGACCTGCTCCAAAAACTTTAACCTGATCACTCATCTGGAAAATCTAGGTCAGATCCAGCATCCGAAGCAAGTGTGGTAGTGTCCATCCCTAGATGCATCATCCCTGCAAGTTTGGTCCAGATAGGGCTTATAGTTACTTGGGAATGGGACTTGCTCCTAAAACTTTAACCGGGACGCCGACATTGACGCCGGGGGTATAGCATAAGCTTATTTCGACTTCGTCGAGGTGAGCTAAAAATGTAATCCACATACTATATAGTAGTCTCCGTTGAGACAGTAGCTCTTCTTGTTTGCAATTGAAATACATTTAGTTTGAGCATAACATTCCTTTCTTGAATTATCATTTGTACAGTAACAGCAGTTTTTCATTTAAATTAGTCATAAAGCTACAGAAGCCCATTTAGGACCTATCAAAAATATTTTTGAATTCGATATAACGAATTGTCAAATTTGTTATAATAAATTTGTGGAATTCATTAAAATGAATTAAATTTGTTATAACAATTTTGTTGAATTTGTTATAACAAATTAAAAAAATTGTTTAAATGAATTTTAAAATTTGTTATAATGAATTAAATTAGTTAAAACAAATTCTAACATTTTTTATAACGAATTAAATTTGTTTAATCAAATTCAACAGTTAGGGCTTATAGAAAAATATATATGAATTTGTTTTAACAAATTGCTGAATTCATTCAAACAAATTTATTTCGTTATAACAAACTCTAGAATTCATTAAAAAGAGTTAAATTCATTATATCAAATTTTTGAATTCTTTATTACGAATTCTACAAATTTGCTATAACAGCTAGATTAAATTCATTGAAATGAATTCAAAAAAAGTGATATAACGAATTAACGTGGCCGAGTCTAATTATTTCTACCCTAAAGATTTTGATAAATTTTCTTGAATTAATTTTTTTATTTTTTTTTTATATTTATTGTTTTAAGATTAAAAAATCGAATGTTTACCATCCCGATTTCTTAGGGGGGCATCTCAAAAATTGTCAAATTTTACTATTGGATCCTATGGGTATTTGTTGGAAAAGTGCCAAATTATCACATTTTTCCCATATTTTTTGTATTTTTGCCCTAGAGATTTCTTTTTCAGCCTAGTACATGAAAGTTCTTGTAAAAATTAAGTCACCAAAATTTGAAATTTCAAAAAAGTTGACCATCTAGGTTGGTGTATGAATTATTACAAGGTTTATTTTTTCAATGCCCAATACCACTAAAATTGCCATAATGTGGTATATGTATATATCGGTGCAAATGAATTATTGGCGCAGATGAATTATTTTGATAAAAAATAGCAATGTTTAGATTACTTGTATGTTTCTTTTGGTGTTCTGTCAACAGTTTTTAGTTAAATATCCATGGACGTCTTGAATAAACAAGCGAGCCATGTGCCATTCTTCAGCTTCATGCATTGCTTACAAAATCGGAAAACAGTGACGTCGTTAGAGCCATTTCAGTGGTTTTTCCTAATTATTGTCGTAAAAGTATAATTTCAGACACATAGGTGTTATAGATAATGTTAATTCTGTATTAAAATCACAATATTTGGGAAAATGTCGCAAATATGACTGCATGAAATTAAAAAGCTGTGCAAAGTCATGCGCACTCAAATTAGACGACTCGGCCTCGTTAAATTCGTTTTATCATATCCTTATATCAAATTCAAAAATATTTTTTGAAAGGTCCTGAATGGGCTTCCCTACAAAGGCAAAAAAAAATTTTAAAAAAAGAAAAGATTTTAAGGCATTTTTTAGGGAAGCCCTTTTATTAAAAGACCTATCAAAAAATGATTTGATATAAAATTTTTGAATTCATCAAAACAAATTTAATATATTATATCAAATTTTTGAAATTGTTATAAATGAATTTAATCTGTTATAACAATTCTGTTGAATTCATTATAATGAATTCAAAAAATTGTTATAACAAATTAAATTCTTTTAAATGAATTCTTAAATTTGTTATAATGAATTAAACTTGTTTAAACAAATTTTTAAATTCATTATAATGAATTCAACAAATTTGTTATAACAAATTAAATTCATTTTACAAATTTGACAATTCAGTAAATCGAATTCAAAAATATTTTTCGTTATGTCCTTAATGGGCTTCTGTATATTTCAATACAGTTCATGAGATTTCTCTATTTATAGTAACAGCAGCAATAGAAATGGACACCCCTACACAGAATTTTGTATGTGTATCTTGATGTATTTTAAAACGATCAATAGAAAATGCATCACTTTGAAAGATTCAAAAGAGACTATTCTCTTTTGATAAAAACAACAGTAAAATGTTCAGTGATATTAAATAACAATGAAAAGGATTACTGGCATATTCATGAACAAAATGATTAAGTCTACATTTCATTTAAATTGGACAAAAACTGTAGGAGTGATAGCATTCTGAAATCAATAAAATAACAGACAATTAGGCCTATGTTTAGTAACAGAAGCAACATCTTTTATCAAAATATAAAATCTATATGTAGAATTATGCATGCATCTATACTTCGACAAAGTTTATAAAAAAGACACAAAAAACTGTTGAAGGAGTTGCCTTTTGAAACTTTACAGACAGACATATGAACAGAAGACAACAAGGGGATGGAAAAGGACTCTTTGACAATACATAAACTTTTCTGATCTTCAGCAAGGAAAGCAGAAACTAAATTATTATTACCTTTGTGTGAGAATATATGAGACATATAGTCAATAAAGCATATATTTCACAAATAACAAAATCTATTCACATTTCCATGAATATCCATTGCAAAACAGGCTGAACAACCAATCCTTAGAAATATAGCACCATGATTAATAGGCGAATAACCTCCAAGTTTTTAAAAATTAATGTAAAATATATTAACAATCGTCAGTTATGCATACATTTAAAGAGTAGTATTCATATGTTTACATTTTTATTTCTGACCTTGAATTCAGAATTATGGAAATGAAATGTAGAGTGTACATGTTCAAAGCATATAATGTTAAAGTTTTCAATGATAATTTTAAAAATCTTGAACAGTAAGGCTAACCTACTCCCTCTAACTACACTCTAATTGCTATTGCCTGTATTGGAGAAAAAAAGAGAGAGTGGAAGACATGTTTGCTTTGCTATACATACAATGGAATTACTTTTTAAAAAAAACTATCGGTATATCTCCATCAAATAACAATATAAACAATTTAATATACACTGAAACACAAAAGAAACGCAACATCCTATTTTAGGGGGAAATATTATATATAGGATATAATTTTGTATCTAAAATGTAAGGACATCTTCAACTTTGTAAATATTGGTAATTTAACGGTTGAATGATTTTCATACCATAACCGGAAGTTAAGTTTGAGTCCGCTTAACAGAAATCAAAAATTGAATGTTTAACAAAATATTTGGCAATAATATAGGGTTTTAAGAATTTGTATCTCTTCAACATAAGTAATGAAGCAATGTTACGAAAAATAAATTCTCCTTTCTTTTCCGTAAGCGATGCCAAGGCTTCCTAAAAATGACTTAAGTACGCATTTCCATTGCTCTAGCGGGAAAATCTCAAAATAAAGGTGATGGAGAGTTGCAGATGCAAATATGCAACACATCACGCCTCAACAGGCTATTACGTATCATTAGCATGAATGACAGTCCTTGGACCGGAAGTCCAAAGGTTACTACACTGCGCTTGGCTAGAGAAAATTCGACCTCATCATCTGAAAAACAGGCATTTAAAAATGGCAAAGAATATTTCTTTCGCTCAGATCTCGAGATTGATAAACCTACTGCATCATAAAAAAATCAAGCTGCAACTGTTGTACATGGCAGTCTTGCACGCTGTAATTGAATGACCGGGGTGGGGGGTGTTTTAACATTCATGTGTTACTTTCTAAAGTTAAAAGATTATAATTTAACATTTTTATCAAATCTCTGATGTTTATAAATCAAGTTTTACCTTACTGTATTCATTTTTGAAAATCATTAGATAAAAAATTCATATATTTGTAGATTACCTCTTGTTGCGTTTCTTTTGCGTTTCAGTATATATTTGACATTTAATATAATTATTTATTTATAAAAATATATTAATTTCTGGTAATACTTTTAATACAATCAATAAAATTATTTCAAATATAATGTTCAACTTGGCACAACTTCTACAGATCAATAAACACTAATCTCAGCGAGATCCGTAGAGAATAAAAATTTTGGTCTGGTACGTAGAAATACCAGACCAAAATTTTTATTCTCTACGGATCTCGCTGAGATTACAATAAACACATCAGTAAACACCAAAGAAATAAAGTTTCACATTGAGTATTAATTAAATAGGTTGCAACCCATTGCCTGAATGGGATATAATAGCCCATTTAGCATATAATATCCCAAATGGGATATAAATTTAATGCAAAAAATGAAGAAAAAAATATTTTGGCTATAAATATTATAAATCTGCATAAAAAATCATAAATTGAATGCAGTAACTTTTGGCAAGGAAGTTTTTCTATAACCCTGCAGTTTGTTTATTTGATCCCCAAGAAGTTTAGTATCTTCCGAGGGATCAATCTCCTAAACAGTGGGGATACAGAAAAACTTGTTTAACAAAAGTTATTGCTTTTTAAGTATTTTGATGCAGATTTATAATATTGATAGCTGAATGAAAAATCTTTTTTTTTTCACAGTAAATTTATATCCCATTTGGGATATCATATCCCATTTGGGATATATTATAACCCAATTGGGCTACATAATATCCCAATTGGCAATTGGTCCCAACCTGTTAAAGTCTTGTACAACCATGTACTATTTGTATTGCACCTTAAAAATCTAATACTGGAGAAAATTTTACAAATTCATGCAGTTTATAAGGCCAACATAGTTTTTTTTTGTTTGATATAAGGAAACCCATCATTCTGATCTGAGGGTGTGTCATTCAGTAGTTATATCACCTATTATTATTATAACTTAAATGCTGACTTGCAATGACTGACATATTCATTTGAATGTATGATGGTCAACATAAAACATACAAAATTTACCTGTAATCAATTCATTAAAAACAATTATGTACATACAAATACATGTATATATTAAGGTAAATCATCTACCAAGAAGGTTTAACCATATTACAAAAAATCAACTTTGATGTTTGTCTGAAAAACCTTAATCGTGTCATTGCAAGTTAGGTGAAGAGGAAAGAGAACATCAAACAAAGCAGTACTTTATATTGGCAGAGCACATGTAACTGTAAATCTTGAAGCTTCAATAATTCTCTCCTTGCCAATCTTCATTGTACAAAATTAATCTCCATCACAAAAAATTGAAGAAAAAAAATTCAAACTTAAAGAGGTTCATTTTTTATGGCTTAGAAACTAACAGATAAAAATAGTGTTGCATTAAAGCTGCCCTTTATCTACTAAGCAGGTATAAAACGAGCAGCAGATACATGTAGATACATGTATCAGTTTGCTAACCCAAACAGTCCTTTTCTTTTTTCACATACAGTATGAGCAATAATTGAAATGAATAGTTCCTGATATAATTTTGATCACTTTCATCTGTCTGAAGTTGGAACTGTCTATGAACAGATTTCTTTGGTTCCTTGGCACTGTTTATCAGCATCGGCCAGGAATAGGAGTCCTGTACTACACATACACAACTGATAAACAATCTGCTGGCCCGAGGCCGGACTCGTACTGACCTTCAGATTCTTTATAAACAGCTTGGACGAGTCCAGACTCTGAAGTTGTAAGTAAGGTTGAAATAATTATTTAGTTAACAAACATATCAATAATTGGAACTGTAGTATTGTTTCAGGGAAAATGTCTGAGCACCTTCGTTCTCCATGTACATGTAAAAACAAAGGGGAAAAAACAAATTTATGCCAAAATGATCAGGTTAAGAAGGTGCCAACAAGATATGAATATACAGTCGAACCTCATTATCTCGAACTCTATGGTACTGAAGAAAAAACTTCAAGATATCCAAGGGTTCGAGATATAGAGGGTAAAATACTTAAATATGTGGTTAGGACTTCCCAATCATTTCAACACATCCATGGTATTCAAGATATCCATGTTCAAAATACCAAAGTTCCACTGTATTAAACTAGAAAATGTCCATAGAATATGAATGCCCTGCCTAAGGTACATTTGTATTGCAACATGAAAATGCACTTTATTTTGTCTCAGCAATTTGTATCAGTATATAAAAATTTATTAAAATATCTTGGAATGCTTTTGGAAACTCAGATAACTATAAAATGAAGGATTATCCTGGAGTCAAGGTCTATGTCAAAGTAAGAAGAAAACAACACAATTGAATTGCTGTCACCAATGTATCATTTATCATTTAAAGTTTAATTAAAAAATCTTCAAAACTGGTGTTCAAAGTTATGGGAAGGTCAAATTTATAAAGAAGGTCATAAAGTTACAAAATTATGACAGAGTAAAATTGCTCTAACCAATATGTAACCTACTATAGAGACTGAATAAGATATATTGAAAGTGAAGAAAAGGTCATATAAGAAAGTCAAGGTCAGAAAAGTATGACACAGTTGAAAAGTTCCTATCTTAATAGAACATGTATCAGTGTATGAAAATATAGTTTCTTCTAAACTGTCCTAAATGCAAAATTATTAATAGTGAGATCAAGGTTATAGGGAAAGTCAAGCTCACACCATTTTGACATAGTTGAAAAGCTCTGATCAATTTGTATCACTATATGAAGTTTGATGATAATATCGTCTAGCAATTTCTTTGAAATTAAGATAAATGCAAATAAAGAACAGGGGGTCAAGGTCATAGGAAGGACAGAGTCAGAAAATTGTTTAAAAATTGAATAGCTCCCACCAATATGTATAAGTGAATGATATTTGATAAAAATATCTTAATAAGGCCAAAAAAATAATCAGTAGTTTCTCAGGCACCACCGCATCAGGTCAAACACTGCCGCATTGATCAAATTTATTGACATATTGAAAAGGGAAATAACTCAATTTTCTATTCTCAAGATACGGATAAGTGAGGTCAAGGTCACAAGGACAGTCAAAGTCAGATAATTGTGACAGTTAAATAGCTCCTACCAATATTTATCATTGCATGAGTTTTAATAAAAATATCTTCAATAGTTATTATGAAAATGGGCTAGCACAAAAAGAGATTTGTGTGGTCAAGGTCATTGGGAAGGTCTGGGACAAAAAATATGCTCTGGTCAATAGCTCTCACCAATATCTATCAGTGTATGAATTTGGATTAAAATATCTCCATTTCTTCGAAACTGAGCTAAACACAAAATAGGAATTAGTGAATAAGGTCAAAGGGAAGGTCAAGGTAAAAAAAAAAAAAAAACTATGGTATATTTCAATGGCTCTTAGAAAATATGTATCAGTGAATGACTCAAGATTTAAATTTCTTGAACAGTTTCTTTGAAACTGAGCTAAACACAAAATAAGAATATGTGAGGTCAAGGTCACAGGAAGGTCAAGTTTAAAAAATTATGGCAAAGTGCAATAGCTCTTAGCAATATGTTTCAGTGTTAGTATTTAGACCGGACTATCTTGAACACTTTCTTTGAAACTGAGCTAAACACAAGTGTGACCAATGGACAGAGAAGGATGGTAAGAAAGATGAAAGACAGACATGTCAAACATTACATGCCCAGCCATAAAAATCTCGGAATAATAAAACTGAGCAGAAATCATCATTGTGCATTGTACTTGTTTTAAAGAATTTTATAGAGTACTTTTCAATCCTAAGCTATACTCACAATGCTGTCTTTTGACCTGATATGGATCTCCTTTAGACTGTTGATTGCCATGTCTCCAGCTGGTGCAGTAATCCGTATCTCATCTTTAGCATACATGTAAATGGAAGTACTTGGAGCCTCTATCCTATGGTAATATAAAAACATAAGGCCCATGGGTAACAATGCTTACCTGAGTCACTTTGACCAAAATCTTCTTCATTAGCTGATTTTTTTCCCCTTCAAATTTCTCTTTTTAATTTCATAAAAAATATTGACTCTATATTGTGGACCTGAATCTAGCCCTAAGAGACCTTTGATTTAATCAAAGTTGAATGGCTATTCCTTCATGTAAGAAGTCACGAAAGATTACTTTTAGTTTTTAGAATACTACGAGTACTAAGAAATATCTTGGGTAAGATGTTTTTAAAAACTTTCTGAGAGTCAAAATATGGTATTTGTCCAACACAGTGCTTTTGATAAAGTCAGCGGCATTGAGCGGCATTTGTTCAAGACAGAGCTTCTGGTAAAGTCAGCGGCATTGAGCGGCATTTGTCAAACACTGTGCCTCTGGTAAAGTCAGCGGCATTGAGCGGCATTTGTCCAACACAGAGTTTCTGGTGAAGTCAGCGGCATTGAGCGGCATTTGTCCAACACAGAGTTTCTGGTGAAGTCAGTGGCATTGAGCGGCATTTGTCCAACACATTGCCTCTGGTAAAGTCAGCGGCATTGAGCTGCATTTGTCCAACACAGAGCTTCTGGTAAAGTCAGCGGCATTGAGCGGCATTTGTCCAACACAGAGCTTCTGGTGAAGTCAGCGGCATTGAGCAGCATTTGTCCAACACAGAGCTTCTGGTAACTTCAGCGGCATTTGTCCAACACAGAGCTTCTGATAACTTCAGCGGCATTGAGCGGCATTTGTCCAACACAGAGTTCCTGGTAAAGTCAGCGGCATTGAGCGGCATTTGTCCAACACAGAGCTTCTGGTGAAGTCAGCGGCATTGAGCGGCATTTGTCCAACACAGAGCTTCTGGTGAAGTCAGCGGCATTGAGCGGCATTTGTCCAACAGAGTTTCTGGTGAAGTCAGCGGCATTGAGCGGCATTTGTCCAACACAGTGCCTCTGGTAAAGTCAGCGGCATTGAGCGGCATTTGTCCAACACAGAGCTTCTGGTAACTTCAGCGGCATTGAGCGGCATTTATCCAACACAGAGCTTCTGGTAACTTCAGCAGCATTGAGCGGCATTTGTCCAACACAGAGCTTCTGATAACTTCAGCGGCATTGAGCGGCATTTGTCCAACACAGAGCTTCTGGTGAAGTCAGCGGCATTGAGCGGCATTTGTCCAACACAGAGCTTCTGGTGAAGTCAGCGGCATTGAGCGGCATTTGTCCAACACGGAGCTTCTGGTAACTTCAGCGGCATTTCTCCAAGATAGAGTTTCTGATGAAGTCAGCGGCATTTATCCAACACAGAGCTTCTGGTGAAGTCAGCGGCATTTGTCCAAGACAGTGCCTCTGGTAAAGTCAGCAGCATTAAGTAGCATTTGTCCAAAACGGAGCTTCTGGTAACTTCAGCAGCATTGAGCGGCATTTCTCCAAGACAGAGTTTCTGATGAAGTCAGCGGCATTTGTCCAACATAGAGCTTCTGGTGAAGTCAGCAGCATTGAGCGGCATTTGTCCAACACAGTGCCTCTGGTAAAGTCAGTGGCATTGAGCGGCATTTGTCCAACACAGAGCTTCTGGTAACTTCAGCGGCATTGAGCGGCATTTGTCCAAGACAGAGTTTCTGGTGAAGTCAGCGGCGTTGAGCGGCATTTGTCCAACACAGAGCTTCTGGTAACTTCAGCGGCATTTGTCCAACACAGTGCTTCTGATAAAGTCAGCAGCATTGAGCAGCATTTAGCTAACACAGTGCCTCTGGTAAAGTCCAACACAGAACTAGCAGCATTCTTCATCTAATAAACATATACGGGAATGCAACATTTTTCATGTAGTGATCTTATACTGAATAAGCGGCATTCTTTATGTAGTGACCATAAACAGAATGAGCAAGTTTTTCATGTAATTAGCATATACGGAATAAGCAGTGTTCCTCATGTAGTGACCTTATACGAAAAAGGCAGCATTCTTCAGGAAGTGACCTTATATGGAATAAGCAGCATTCTTCATGTAATGACCTTATAAGGAATAAACAGCATTCTTCATGTAGTGACCTTATATGGAATAAGCAGCATTCTTCATGTAGTGACCCTAAACGGAATAAGCAGCATTCTTCACGTCATGACCTTATACAGAATAAGCAGTGTTCCTCATGTAGTGACCTTTTACGGAATAAGTGGCATTCTTCATGTAGTGACCTTTAACGGAATAAGCGGCATTCTTCATGTAGTGACCTTTTACAGAATAAGTGGCATTCTTCATGAAGTGACTTAATACAAACTGAGTGGTATTCTTCATGTAGTGACCTTATATGGAAGGGGCATTCTTTCTTGTGGTTTAACTTGTGTTGAACGGGGGACATTAATTAGTCCTTAGACTCTAATTAGACATCTATTTTGTGATAATTTTGAAACAAATCTCATGGTAAAGCTTTTTCTAATGTACCTCAATTTATGGACTCTTTACATATTTTCCTTAATTTTAAAATCAAAGATCAAAGATATACTTTTGCTACTTATGTATGGGATGCCCTTAAGTTAATAGTCATAATCAAGCAATATCAATGATTACATTTCTTACAAAATTAGAATATTGAAGCCAGATGATTAACAGTATAAGCCTAATCATCTTTGGGTTTTAAACACTTGCTAAGATTTTGGGACAGAATCACACATTGGTGATAAGTATGTATCTGACTGCCATTACTTTAATGCTTAATTAGCATGCTTCTTGACTAATAACAGGCCAGAATTATGCTATTTAGTGAAGTCAGTTTAGTCTAATATTATTGTATTATCTAGATACTAATGAAAATATTATCAAAAGAAAGGGGGGAAACATAAATGCTAATTAATGATCAAATCCTTGCCATTGAAGAAAAACAAATATCTTTACAGTACCTTTCATAGATAGAATGATAAACCCTCTGTCAATTATAAGTTAATTCTATCAGTAGAAAAAGAATTAATTGTATTTCAGATTCTTCTATCCTTGGTCTAAACAAAACATTATTTATGCAGTTGCACACATTAATTTTTCAGGCCTTCTGTGAATCTTTTTAAGGCAAAAGAATTTTCATTGTACAAAAGTGAATAAAAGCATTTTTTTGAGAAAAGTTCATGACAACTTTTCATATAAGTTATTTAAACTTTGCAACTACTTTAGCAGAAGTACCATGTTGGACTTAACTAGACGCTGTGTGTTGGACAAATGCCGCTGAAGTTACCAGAAGATCTGTGTTGGACAAATGCCGCTCAATGCCGCTGAAATTACCAGAAGCTCTGTGTTGGACAAATGCCAATCAATGCCGCTGTCTTTACCAGAGGCACTGTGTTGGACAAATGCTGCTCAATGCCGCTGACTTCACCAGAAGCTCTGTGTTGGACAAATGCCGCTCAATGCCGCTGACTTCACCAGAAGCTCTGTGTTGGACAAATGCCGCTCAATGCCGCCGACTTTACCAGAAGCTCTGTGTTGGACAAATGCCGCTCAATGCCGCTGACTTTACCAGAAACTCTGTCTTGGACAAATGCCGCTCAATGCCACTGACCCAGAAGCTCTGTGTTGGACAAATGCCGCTCAATGCCGCTGACTTCATCAGAAGCTCTGTGTTGGACAAATGCTGCTCAATGCTGCTGACTTTACCAGAAGCTCTGTCTTAGACAAATGCCTCTCAATGCTGCTGACTTTACCAGAAGCTCTATCTTGAGCAAACACCAAACACCAACCCATTTCTTTTGATTTTCGTGACTTCTTACATGAAGTATGAACCAAGTTGAATCCACATAACACTGGGATTCTTCAATATCAACACAATCAACATGGCCCTGTTGTTCAATAGATTTTCTTTCCTGTATACATGCATGTAAAATTTGGATCTCTGATTTCAGCTCAACTTGACTGCCTAATGTGGCTCCACCCTATCTCCACAGGCAATAATTTGAAGAAAATTGAAACTAAATGTCCTGAATATGCTTTCATATTAATATGACTAGTCATGGTTTTGCTATTCTTAATGGAGAAAAATTGTTAAAGATTTTTCCCCATATAGTTTGATCTGTTTTTGTTGCCCCACAGGTCATGATTTGAAAACTTGAACCTGCCCTACCTCAAGAGACTTCCATAGTAATTTGACTAATCATGGCTTTGCTGTTTTTGAGAAGATTTCTTCCCTGTTTTGGTAATAGTTTTACAAGGGTTATTTCCAATAGAATTTCAAACCATTTTTGGAAAGATGTTTTTAATGCCCTATATGAATTAAGAATGATTATAGAGACTGACAGTTTGTCTATGTTTGATCCTCTTTGGTATAATGACAATATTAAGATATCAAATAATTTTATATACTATAAACATTGGGCTGATAAAGGTGTAAAATACATAAAAGATTTGTTTCTTCCTGATGGCCAGCCTATGAGTTTTGAAGAATTTTGTGATGTGTATAATTTGTCAACCCCTTTTACATTATTTCAAGGTGTCTTACAAAGTGTCAGAAAATTGAATTTAATTTATACGGAAAAGGATGCTTTTTATAATTCTCCTTATTATCCCAATTTCTTCCGAATAATTTTTAAGAGTCAAAAGGGATCAAGAGATTTTTATGACATTTTAATTTCATCTAAATGGGATAAACCCAAATATGAAAGTAAATGGGAAAATGTACTAGATTTGAATGTAAACCAGTTGTGGTGGAAAACCCATAATAAACTGATTTTTAGTATCACTGAAGATGTACAACTTAGATGGTTTCATTATCGAATTGTACATAGAATTATGAGTACTAATGTTTATTTAAAGAAAATAGGAATCGTGCATTCCGATCTGTGTACTTTTTGTGGTACGCATCCTGAGTCTATAACCCACTTGTTTTGGGAATGTTTATATGTTGATATATTATGGAGTAAACTAGTAGAATGGATCAATTATAAAACAGAGCACAATACTGAAATAAACATAATTGATGTTATATTTGGTAGAGAAGGTAAATATCATATTATTTTGAATCTTTTAATATGTATAGTAAAAAGGCATATTTATAAGAAAAGAATTTGTAAGTCACTACCAACCATAGAAGGAGCAAAAAAGGAAATCAATCATTATTATAAAATTGAAAAATTTATGTATAAAAAGAACAATGAATTGGCTTTATTTGAAAAGAGATGGGGTCTTTTTTCTTCACTGTTTTCTAATGTTGGTTAAAAATTGTACTTGTTTAAAACCATTATGTTATTCATTATTTTGATAACTTTTCTGGTAAATACATACACATATTGGATGCATGGGGTGTGAAAGGATTTGTTTACATATTATTTTTTTTTTTTTTTTCCAATGAAAAATTGTCCTGGTTGAATATTAAAATATACAGTGTTTATATTAGTAGTACATTATATGTAGTAGTTTATTTACTATAGTGCCATGTGACTGTCATCATTACTATTGGCTATATTTTATGCTTGTAAGTTTGGTGAGTCCAGGGCTCCCCAACCTTGGCGCCATCCATCGAATCTTATATATCGCTGGGGCAATAAAAAAAAAAAAAAAAAAAAAAAAAAAAAAAGATTTTTTCCTATATATTCCTATGGGAAACTTCAATCTCCTATTGTGACTCAACCCTACCCCCAGGGATCATGATTTGAACAAATTTTCAATTACACTACCTGAGAATGCTTTCCACATTAATAAGAAAATGCCTTTATATGAATATGACTATTCTTGAGAAGAGGATTTTTTTTATGTATTCCTATGTAAAACTTTGATCACCTATTGTGCCCCAATCCTAACTCCAGGAGTCATGATTTTAACAAAACTGAATCTACACTATCTGAGGATGCTTCCACATTTATATGACTAATCATGGCTTTGCTGTTCTTGAAAAGAGACTATTTGAAGATTTTTCTAATATATTCCTATATAAAACTTTGATCGCCTATTGTTGCCCAAACCCTTTCCCTGGGGGTCATGTTTTGAACAAATTTGAATCTACACTTCCTGAGGATGCTTTTACATTAATAAAACTAATCATGGCTTTGCTGTTCTGGAGAAGATTTTTGAAGATGTTTCATTATATATTCACATGTAAAACTGATCCCCCATTGTGGCCCCATCCAACACCAGAGTGCTATGATTTGAACTAACTTGTTCAACACTATATCAAGAAGCTTTCACTGTTTCATTATTTGTGATCAAGTGGTTCTTGAGAAAAAATTTTAAGACACCCACCCTATTTTTTTTTCTTTTCTTGATTATCTCCCCTTTAAACAGAATACGTCCCTTTATTTTAACAAACTTAAATCCTCTTTGCCTAAGGATGCTTTATGGTAAGTTTGGTTGAAATTGATCCAGTGGTTCTGGAGAAGTTGAAAATATGAGAAGTTAACAGATGAATGGACCGACAGACAATGGATGACTGTTGATCAGAAAAGCTCACTAGAGCATTTGGTTCAGGTGAGCTAAAAAAGTGACACAAGATACCAATAATTGGATATTTCAATCTAGATCCTTCAGAAAGTGACTCCAGAATCTACAGATGTCTTTTTAGCTACATTTATCTTTTACCTTGTAGTGCACATGAAGCCATTGAGGAAAGAGTACTAAAGTTATGTTAATTTGTAACAAATAAAGATGGACATGATTTTATGGGATTTTCACCTTTTAAAGATTAAGAACAAACAAGAGGCCCATGGGCCACATCGCTCACCTGAGCACAGTGGATAGGCAAAAGCACAAATCAGTTCAGTATTGAAAAGATTCCGGGGGGGGGGGGGGGGGGGGGGGGGGGGGGGGGCTTGAATTTTAAACTACCTGATGATGCTTCCATGTCAAAATAACAAATGGCTTTGTTGTACTTGAGAAGATTTTAAAAAAATTTTCTGATATATTCCTTTGTAAAAATTTGATCCCCCCTTGTGGCTCCTCCCTATCCCAGGGGTCATCATTTGAACAAACTGGAATCTACACTACCTGAGGATGCTTCCATATCAATATGACTAAACATAGCTTTTCTGTTCTTGAGAAGAAATATTTTTTCTATATGTTCTTATGTAACATTCGATCCTCCATTGTGGCCCCGTCCTACTCTCGGGGGTCATCATTTGAACAAACTTGAATCTACACTACCTGAAGATGCCTCCATATCAATATGACTAAACATAGCTTTTCTGTTCTTGAGAAGAAATATTTTTTCTATGTGTTCTTATGTAAAACTTTCTATCCCCCTATTGGGCCCCACCCTACCCTCGGGGGTCATCATTTGAACAAAATTGAATTTACACTACCTGATGATGCTTCCATATCAAAATGACTAATCATGGCTTTGCAGTTCTTCATCAGAAGAAATCTTCCTATATATTTCTATTTCAGACTTTGATCCTCCATTGTGGCCCCACCCAACCCCAGAGGGGCAACATTTGAACAAACTTGAATCTACACTACCTGAGTATACTTCCACATAAATATGATCAATCAGGGCTTTGCTGTTCTTGAGAAGAAGATTTTTAAAGATTTTTCCTATATATCTCTATGTAAAACTTTTATCCTCCATTGGGGCCCCACCCTACCCCCAGGGGTCATGATTTGGACATACTTAAGTCTATACTACCTTAGGATGCTTCCATATCAATATGATCAATTAGGGCTTTGCTGTTATTGAGAAGATTTTTAAAGATTTTTCCTATATATTACTATGTAAAACTTTGATCCTCCATTGTGGCCCCGCCCTACCCCCGGGGGTCATGATTTGAACAAACTTGAATCTACACTACCTGAGGATGCTTCCATATAAATATGACTCATCATGGCTTTGCTGTTCTTGAGAAGAAGATTTTTAAAGGTTTTTCCCATATATTTCTATGTAAAACTTTGATCCTCCATTGTGGCCCTGCCCTACCCCCGGGGGTCATGATTTGAACAAACTTGAATCTACACTACCTGAGGATGCTTCCATATAAATATGACTCATCTTGGCTTTGCTGTTCTTGAGAAGAAGATTTTTAAAGGTTTTTCCCCATATATTTCTATGTAAAACTTTGATCCTCCATTGTGGCCCCGCCCTACCCCCAGGGGTCATGATTTGAACAAACTTGAATCTACACTACCTGAGGATGCTTCCACATGAGTTTCATCTTCCCTGGCTTTGTGGTTCTTGAGAAGAAGATTTTTAAAAGATGCTATTAATTTTTCACTAATTCTTTATTATCTCCCCTTGAAAGAGGGCGTGGCCCTTCATTTGAACAAACTTGAATCCCCTTCACCCAAGGATACTTTGTGGCATGTTTGGTTGAAATTGGCCCAGTGGTTCTTGAGAAGAAGTCGAAAATGTGAAAAGTTTACAGACAGACGGACGGACAGACGGACAGACGGACTACAGACAAAATGTGATCAGAAAAGCTCACTTGAGCCTTCGGCTCAGGTGAGCTAAAAACTGCCTTAAAGAATGCCAAATAGAACATTCTCAACTAATATAGCTATTCCAAATATGTTCTACTAATAAAGACATACAAAATATGGACAGTTAATGGAGTCTTAATTCTTTAAAGGATGGCTGAAAATATGTGTACATTTGTAACTGTTTACCCTGCTAGAGTATATTTTACAGGAAAAGTGTGAGAATACAATATGCCAAAGAATACTGTCTGTATTACAAAGATTAGAACTTACTTTAAAGGTTCTGCTCTTGGCCCTCTGATGTTTGGAGTTTCCACTGAACTATTGAAAGTCACCCTACTGGACCCTAAATCAACAAACATTAACTATTGAATGTTACCTTACTGGACCATAAAAAACAAACATTAACTATTGAAAGTCACCCTACTGGACCCTAAAACAACAAACATTAACTACTGAATGTCACCTTACTGGACCCTAAAAACAACAAACATTTAATGAACTGGTGCTTCCAGATTTGGTCATACTACAAAATAATATGACCATTTCAATTTACAATTTTCCAGAATTTTATCTTATTTGTTTATGAAGGAAAAACTAGTGAAGTTCTAATTGCAAGAATTCTGTTGAATCATTTCAATTCATGAAGGCAAATACTTGTAGCTTTTTGAAAATTTACACGTAGTATGTGCATTTGAAGACATAAATTTGATGCCAGCATTCTAGTCATTAAGGTTGTACCTTTATGGGTAAGAGAAACCCTTGAAATTTTATGACTTTATTGTAATGTAACAACTGAAAATAATGATTTTCAAAGAAGTAATTTTTGATTTTTAAACAAATGTAATGATGCTGATATTCCAAAGTTCTTGATTATCATGATTATAAAGCAAACTGAAGATTCACTAGTCACATGAATGTTCCTAATCAATGTCACAGGATTACAATTTCTTTTACCCACAGAATGGTCAGTTGTTGTCTTACCTGTGTAGTAAACTTCATCCATTTCCATGGTTATGCCCTTGTTCCCGACCTTGAACCTGGTCTGACCTTTCTTGTCTTTGATCTCAAACTCCTCACATTGAGCCTCTAGTTTTTTGTCACCTACAATAAGTACTTAATAGATCAATCATAACCGTAATAAATAAAGAAATTTCTCCCAAAAATCCTAAATAATTTTCTTTCAAAGATATCATTTGTTTCATCTGTTCTGACAAACTAAAAATAAAAGATTTTTTCCGGGAAGAGCGCTTGTAAAATTCATAGTACATGTATTTGAAATCTACTGACCAACAAGTAGTGTGCTTGACATATTTTTCTTTCCATCCCTAGCCCTTAGTATGATATCCTTACTGGAGTCAATATACAGAGGTTTGTCCTGTAATAAAGATTAATTTGTTACGATCAAAACATGCTTAATTTCAACAAACATTTACAAAATCCATAAATGTAAAGAAATGTGAAATAATTATATCTTGATCAAGCCAGCATATTCACTTAATACTTGTACCAGTTAAGATTTTCATTTTTTTTTTTTTTGCAGTTACTAAAAAGTAAAAATGTTCTACCTATACAGTCCACAATTCACTCAGTGAGTTACCTGCATTGATTGGACCCTGTTTGTGTACAAGCTGTCTAAAAACTCCGCTTCTCCCTCTAATCTCAACCCCTTCTCTGTGATTCTTAGTTTTCCCATTCCATGCTAAATTAATCAAGAAATTCAAATCAAAATACTAGTATTAGTATACAAAGTACAACCCGTATCTATTTTATAAATCTATGTAACATTAAACAAGGGAAAGCTTACTAGTAAACATATTATTACTGTAAAATCACTTATTTTTGTGGGGTCAAATTTTCATGGTTGACGAAAAAAGTTTGGTTCATGGGGATTTGATTTCATGGTTGAGGAAATTCTGAGTTGTAATATATTTGAAATTTGACATTTTGTGGGGGACATATGATCATGAATTCATGAGTCTTTTCAGACCATGAGAACAACAAAAATAAAACATGGTTTACACCCACAAAAAGTTCACAGTATCATATTTTGTAATCAAACAAGTGAAAGCTTAAGTCTTACCACAGAAAAATTAAGAACACGAAGGATCCAAATGATTAAGGCTAAGTTCAAAGTTGTCAACACCATAAGGAATAAGACAAAGGCATAAAGACAGCGCTTTCTCCAGCCATAAATTCCCACGGGTTGTAGTGGGTGTTCATAATGCTCCTCCTCTGTACCGGCCGTATGTCCATTACTAGGACTAGCACGAAGCATACTGAGATGCCTGTAATAATTAATAACAAAATGTTCAGAAAACTGAATTATTATAGTAAATAGTAAAATGAATACACATATAGTGAAGTGCCAGGAATGAACCTGCTCCAAAAAACATTAGCCTGGTCATTCATCTCATGATCTGGAAAATGTAGCTATGATCAAAATCAAACATCAAAAATCAAAACAAGTCTAGCAGTGTGCAGCCCTTGGTGCTTTATATACATATGCAAGTTTGGTCCAAGTAGGGCTTAAAGTAACAATGGAATGAAACTGGTCCAGAAACTTTTAACTTGGTCATGCACTAGGAAAAATAAGACAAATCCAGCATCTGAAGCAAGTCTGGTAGTGTGCATCCCTACATGTATCATCTACACAAATTTGGTCACCACAGGGCTTACACATCATGTGATCCAAAAATTTAATCTGGTCACTCATACAGAAAATGTATAAGTCAGATCCGGCATCCAAAGCAAGTATGGATTAATATAAAATGTATCTTCCACCCCAAACATCCAAATGAAGGAAAAGTTTCAACATTTTCTTTTAATTGCTAAATTCCATCTGCAATTTTGACATTTGGAACTCTCCAGATTGTTCTTAGTTATTGGTATACATGTAGATTAGAATTACTAAATGCTTCTGTAACAGGAAAGGAGAAAATGTATGCCTGGACCGGGAATCGAACCTGGGACCCCTGCATCAGAAAGAGTATCGTTTAACAGTGTCTGTAAGAGTGATCATTTTAACATGTTTAAAACTAAGCTGATTAAGTTTGATTGACTTCAACACCATTTCTGTGGGTAAATGACTAATCACATAATGACAATAATATTTAGTTGTTTATGTAGATTACACAATAATAATCAATATCTATTTAAATTTATGGCCACTTTTTATTTTTCTAAATTTTACTTGGAAATTAAAATAGGCATGCAGACATTGCATGGGATTCGAACCTGAGATTAGTTTATGACAGGATTGTATGATAAATAAAAAAACAATTCAAACAACAAATTCGATCAAAAATGCTAATGTTAGGCTAAAGTAGAGTTAAAAACTTCATAAAAACTTGAAACAAGCTTAATTTTCAGCAGTGAACGCAAGAGTTGAATGCAACAAGTGGGTGACAACTGTAAATGAGATAACAGTGATACAGAAAATTCTTAATAAAACAGTTCATCGTTTCCTAAAAATAATTCGATTACCTATACCTGCTTAATTTTACTTTTCCTTAAAACAAAGCAACTCCATCCACTCCAATGATGCTGAACACAGTGACACTTGATTTCATTGGACAGCAGGCGAGAAGCTTGAACCAATAAAATATCTTCTTTAATCCACGTACCTGCAGACGAAACATGGCGGCTGTCAATACAATCTTCCTTGTCTTTGCAATATTGTTTGCCATTGTAGGCTTTTTGCAAGGTGCCATTAAAAAGAAAGAGGTAAAAAAAATGTTTTGTTTTCTTTTAAGACGGTACTTTGTATTTTATTCTGTTTTTATTTGAAAAAACTATATAGTCGGCATGTGTAAGAATTGATATCCTGTAGCCCGAATTTGTTCAGTTGAATGTACATTTTTACTCTTAGAATAGAAGTAAATCGCAAATTCTTCCAGTATTACGAAGGACACTTTGCTAGATTGTGTATTTATTAACGTAAAGATGAAGGGGTTTTGTTACCTTTTTAACAATATGTCGTGAATAACTGAATGCTAGCCCCACTGGTGGATTTAGAGATGTAACCAACAAATATACTTAAGATTGATAAGTCATTTTTTGTGGGATACGGTTTCACACACGGGGCCCCCTACCCAGACTCCCAACTGCCCCCTCCCTCACTCTTTTTCAAGAACCCTGGATCTGCCACCGAGCCTTTAAAAACAGTTGATAGAATAGGCCTATTCCCAGTTTCTCACCATAGGATGCTTCAGGTATACCTCTGTTCTTGTCTAAATTACAAAAATCTTGTTAAAAGGGTAAATGGTAAAGTTTCAACTAATATTTCACTTCCGTGATAAACAGTAAGATGTTTTTTGTTTAACCTGATAATAACTTTAGACAATCATTAAAAAATGTTTGATTGCCGTCTTTCAAAAAATTGTTAGATTTAGGTAGGGAGATTTTTTATTAAATACAGATTAGTATTAAATGATCAAGAACTTGAGAATATAAAATTAAGATAGTCATTAAAGAGATGAGAAAATTCTGGAATGATTTAAAGAAAAATTGAATAAGTTTTTAAAAAGTTTTGAGTCTAGCCATTTTAGTCAGTCCTTTTGGGAGTGGGCAAAGAGACAATTATTTTAAAATGGCCTCATCTTGAAAATATTATCATAACATCAATATATTGTGGGTGGAACCATTTTGCTTATAGTTTTAACACTTATTTTAAGTGATGCAAAGAAGAGAAGCTTGTACCAACTTAATGAGTATTTTCAGCTTCTGTGCATCTTATTGAAAAAAAAAAAGTTTTAACACTCTTAGACTATTGTGATGAGACAACAATGAATAAGATCAATAATGTTAATTGCAGCCTTCTGATCGATCTTAGCATTGTTTTACTGCCAACCAAAATTTAAAAAATATTGGCTTTATAGTTGTATAGTTATAGTTGTATAGTTTCAAATGTAATGATAAACAAAATCCTGTCATATTGCATTTATTTATTTTTGAGCATTAACACATTTGTAGTAGATAAGATGAGTTTTTTTAGCCGGGCTCATTGCTCAAAGAGCAATTGCTGGCTATTGTCACCCTGTTCATTTTCTTTTACCATTTGTTTAAATTTAGGATACACTTGGAGAAAAAGTCAGTCAACTGACAGAATGGAACAACAAGAAAGCCGTCATCAGGATGAATGGTGATAAATTCAGACAATATGTGAAGTCGCCACCCAGAAATTACTCCGTAGTGGTTATGTTAACAGCTCTACAGCCTCAGAGACAGTGTTCTGTATGCAAGTAAGTATACTATAACTGAATACTTCAAACCATACCCCTCTCTCCAATATAAAAAATAATGATGAAACCACACATGCACAAAAAGAACAAACAAAACAAAATAAAAAAAAAAACAAAAAACAACCAACCTACCAAACCCCCTCCCTACCAAAAAGGATACAATTATAATCTCATATTATCTTTCTTAATTGAAAGATTTGGTTTTATTGATAAAAAAAGTTGTATATAGGACGTGGAACATTTGAAATTAATTCTTTCAGTTCTAAGACGAAAGAGCATGTAGCTTTGTTCTTTCTCTTCAAAAATCAATTATTTTTTGTAAAAATAATGTTTGTAAGACTGCAGCTCATGATCACTTGCTATCTTTGCTCATTGATCTATCTAAAAAAAACAATCTAAAATAGAAATCTCCACAGATGTGACAAGATCTACTACCATTTGTTAAAATCTGATAATTCATATCCTAATGCATATAGCATTTATTATTGATTTGTTGTAGATTATGTTGAAGATAATTTGATCACTATTAATTAAATGCATTCATAGAGAATATATACATGTTATTAAAAACAAACTTCATAGGGAAAGGTACTACATGTATATCTTGTCATTTTTTAGTATATATGTAAAAGTTTTATTCAGCTTAATTTATTCTTATATTTTTGACAATATTCAATTAAACACATTTATTGCAAACCTTTTTAGCTCACCTGAGCCGAAGGCTCAAGTGAGC